TCCTTCATGATGTCTGTTTTGCTTGTTTCAGGAACATGACATTGAGACCCCCTATGGGATGCTCCACGTGGTGATCAGAGGGGCACCGAAGGGCAACCGTCCTACTATTCTCACCTACCATGATGTTGGCCTCAACCGTAAGTCATTCATATTTCTGCATTGAAAAATGGGGGAATTTCACAATGCCGTGCATGTGTCATAATACTCAAGTGTATATTTCACCGCAGTGAGTGCAGCTGTACCTGGCATTTAAACTTGCCATCCATACCACCTCTGAGAGCCCAGCCTACCAGGGTTACCAGTCCTACTTTACCTTGCAAATGTGGGTTTGAACACTCTTTGGCGCGATCTTGAAAACTTACTTACACAGCAAAGCGCCTTGATAAGTCAGACCGCCCTTCGGAGTCTAATCTTTCTTTAAAGAAATGACTCATGTAAACCTAAAGTACTGTAGCAACCACTTTCTATATAATACTTCTATACTGTACTTTATTTGCCTTATGACAAAAATGAAATGCCACATTTTTCCTGTCTTTGATAATGCATCTGAAGTGGAATGTTTTGAGAGACTCTCACAGTTAATGGGGCAAAAAATGGGAACTTAATAGTAATGCAATTATTCAATCTGATTCTGGAACATGAGCATAACTGGAGCTACAGTACAATGTCCACATAGAACTTCTGTCATGATCTCATCTTTTCACTTTTTCAGTGTCAGTGCAATTTTCATTGAATGCATTATGGTGCAGTTACTGTATGCTAGCAACTAGAAAAGTGTGATACTAGATGGTGCTGATGAATAATGATGAGAGAAGTCACACTGAATTTAATTTAGCCTTTAGTGTCAATCAAGTTGGGTGCAGCACTGGCACTTTGTGCAGAAATAACGTACAATGGAATACTGGACAGAAAGGGTATAAGTGTAGCTAGATATTAGCACAAAGGAATCCAGGAAAATGTCCAAGAAATATTTGCAACCAGAGCAAGGCATAGCTACTTTCTGAATTAAACTGGGAAATTCAGAAACCTGAAAGTGTGATGTAGAACCTATCAGGGCAAACTATACAGTAGCTCAGATGGCTGCTGCTACACACTCCTGGGCAGCAATGTGCACAGACAGTTCATGGGGCTGCAACACTGCCGTAGCCCAGCTGAATATAATCTTTGCAGCAAACATTATGAGAACAGGAGAGGAGCCTTTAGGCCACAACAACGACACCGTTAAAATAGTTCTTGATATATAGAAGCAAACCCATTTCTGCAAACTAAAACAAAACTAAATCTTTGATTTACAATTGCAAACTGCATAAACCTCAAGATGCACATG